TAGTTCACCTACATCCAAAGATTACTGTGGACTCAAACAATGATGGATCTGGACCAAACTCTACAAGAATACTCAATATGCCCAAATGTGAACACTGGTGGAGTTTGGGGAAAATAGAATCTTGACATTTGGGAGTTGTTATTGCTGGGATTTATAGTTCACCTACAATCACAGAGCATTCTGAACCCCAGCAACCAAAGAATTGGGCCAAACCTCCCACACAGAACCTCCATGTGGGCCACAAGAATGCGTGGCAGGGGACAGCGAGGCACTCATAAAAACACTGAAAAACACAATGGAAGGGACCTAAAAAGCCAAAAAGGCAAAAAGAAGCTACAGCACATGTGCAAAAACAACTCCCCCTGGCAAACAAAACACACAATAGCATATCCACACTCTCTTTCTGGACTACAGCTCCCAGCATCCCCTAGACCAGGCCCTTTAGGAGAGGAGGATGATCCAAATGCACTGCTTCCAAAATGCAAGCTTTCATCTCCTTGGATTTCTTTGAGAGCATCCCAATCCCTGCAGATTTCCAAATTCCTATTCCTGGACTGCAACTCCCAGCAAGCCTCAAGATAGATAAGATAGATAGATAGATAGATAGATAGATAGATAGATAGATAGATAGATAGATAGATAGATAGATAGATAGAGAGGTAGATGGATTGATCAGGAGAACTGTTGGGATGTGCAGTCCAAGAATAGGTAAAGAAGGAAGAAAGGGGAGAAAGGAGAAGGGAAAGAAAAAGGGGGGAAGGAAGAGGAAGAGACGGAAGGAGAGAATGAAAGAAAGAAAGGGAAGGAAGGAGAGAAAGAAAGGAGGAGAGAAAGAGGGAGGGAAGGTTGGCCACAGCCAATGGACGAAAAACTCTGTTTGGAGGCCTGCAAGTCCACTGGATCTTAATTCACATCACCCAAACAACCCCCATTACCGAAGGCTTTCAAGGCTGGAATCACTAGGTTGTTGTGGGTTTTTTCAGGCTATATGGCCATGTTCTAGAGGCATTTTCTCCTGACGTTTCGCCTGCATCTATGGCAAGCATCCTCACACCTCTGAGGATGCTTGCCATAGATGCAGGCGAAAGGTCAGGAGAAATGCCTCTAGAACATGGCCATATAGCCTGAAAAAACCTACAACAACCTAGTAACCCCATTAACTCTTGCAATGTCGGTGCTTTTAGCTATCTCCCAAACCAGCACGGACTTTGAAATCTGACTTTTTTGCCAGCGTTTGCATTGTTTATGCTAGGAAGGAGAAAAAACAACAGTGCCGAAATCTGCAACAGATCGGGTTGATGGAAACTTCTGGGTCTTTGTGAGCAAATATTTTTGTGGGGAGTGCGTTTGTTTGTCTCCCCAGGGAGCGCCTGTTTGTCGGAGGGGAACCAGGAACAACAGGAGCCACAAGTAGTTTGGCGTCTGCAGCAGCGCCTGACGTGCGCGTCACACTCCAGTGCTGGGGAGCCGGGCGAGGAAAAAGAAACGCACTGCTTTGGAGGTGACATTTGCAGTTGGCTCATTACTCTTTTCAAAAGAGTTTGGCATCAAAGAGACAGCTTCAAACGACAAGCTCAGATGTGCATATGCAAGAGCTAATTAACAGCCAGGCAGGGAGGAGGAGGAGGAGGAGATGGGAAGGGGCCCAGACTCAATGCGCTGCCACCAACAAGGCACACTGGTCCAGCTTTACAAAGACACAGTGATGTCGAGCACCCCCCCCCCCAAATAAGGGATAGTGACTTATAGTTCTGCAAAGGGCAAGGGCACCAGACTACACAACAAGGGTTAAGTCTTGGTCACATTGCCAAGGCACTGACAACAATAAGGACCCCACGAGGCTTTTGGGAAATGGCTGGATCTTGGGACTTCTGCCCTTTGTGAGAGTTGTAGTTTCCCAAGGAACAAAAGCATGAATCAGTTGCAGCACAGCTGGGGTTTCATCTGCCAGCCTTCCCAATGATCATGGACTCTCTGCCTGCATGTCTTGGACTTCAGTACATACTATCTCCCTCATGAACTTTCTTCAAAGACCTTTTAAAACATTGGACTTCAGGCTTCTTCATGAAAATTAATTCTCTTATTAAATATACTTGGAATGTGGGACAAAGATAGGGTTTTGTTGCTATGAAATGCTTATGATTATGAATGTATGTATCTTGCTATGAAATATTGCCTTTCCCCTTTGCCTTTTGCCCTAGAAAATGTGACCCAGGACTGTTGAAATGCTTGAGGGAGAACCACCACCTCCCTTTCTTATTTGATTATTTCACATCTGCATGGAACAATAGCCATTTATGGTTTCCTTTGTCTCGCCCTCGGAGTTGGTCCAGTGAGATGAGGTGTCGTCCCGCCTCCCCTCTTCTGATTCGCTGGCCGGCAGGCGACAGGGCCCTCCCCCTTGGATCCAGCACGCCCCTGAAGCTCCCTGATTGGTCCAGGAGCCCAGGGGATGGGAGGCTCCTCCCCAGCTGCTCGCCCTGTTGCCCAATCACAGCGGGGAATGTCAGAGGAGCCGGGGCGGGAAGTTTGAACTCTGGGTTTTCAAAAATTGTATAAATATGCCTGCATCACTGTGCTCCTGCATGCTTGTGGTGGAATTATTCCTACAATGCATCCGATCTCAGCTGAATCGCTAATAAAGACACCTCGATTGCTGAACTTCTTCCGCTTTGGTGAGGATTTATTATTTTAAATATTTTTATCGCTGAAATTGGCTTTTTCTGGCCTCACCAAGGTTTAAGGACTCTCTTTGGTGCAGTCCTCGGGATCTCCCTAGCTGAGGAGATCCTCCTAAAAGCAGCTCGATATCAATGGCACCGAAAGAAGTTTTCGTATTGACTGGAAAGGCCCAACCATTCATACCTGGGCCAGGCCTCTTCAACCTGCAGCCCCCCAGGTGTTTGAGACCCCAACTCTCAGAAACCCCTGTTGCCTGCTCCTTCAACATTCAAGAATGTTGGGAACGGACGTCCAAAATACCTGGAGGACCACAGGTTGAAGAGGCCTGCTCTAGGCCAGTGTAGTACTCCAGATCTTTTGGACAGCTCCCAGAATTCCAGACCATTGGACTAGCTGAACTGGAGTCTTGTTAGACAGAAAGGGCACAGTAGAGCTGGAGGTTTAGCACTGCTGTAAATCATCAGCAATTGTAAGATCTCTCAACCAAAAGGCTGCAAGTACGAAGCCCCAGGTTGGCGTGAGCAGCCAACTGTCAGCCTACCTCATTGTTTACCTAAGCAATTTGGAAACAGCTTTAGATGTGATTAGACAAATTGGGTACCGCTAAAATACTCCACTCCATCTCCCCCAGCAGGACTTGGGGCGGCTTACATGAGGCCATGCCCATCAATACAATAAATACAGTATTACACAAAAACATAACAAAAACAAAAAATAAAATACATAAAATGCAAAAACCAATATAATAGACAACGCAGCAATATAAAATCAAACATCAAAACACAAAGGAATTTCACTGGGCAGGGCCAATTCAAGAATAAAATTTAAAAACTCTAGGGCACTTTGGTACTTTGGACAGCACTTTTGACAGCTCCCAGAATTCCAGCTGAACTGGAGTCTTGTTAGACAGAAATGACACAGTAGGGCCGGAAGTTTAGCACAGCTGGTAAATCATTAGCAGTTGTAAGATCTATGTATTGTCGAAGGCTTTCATGGCCAGAATCACTGGGTTGTTGTAGGTTTTTTTCGGGCTATAGGGCCATGTTCTAGAGGCATTCTCTCCTCACGTTTCGCCTGCATCTATGGAAAGCATCCTCAGAGGAAAAGTGTTCTTGCCATACATCAAGGGAACCACTGACCGCATAGGGAAGCTGATGAGGAAACACAACATACAAATTATCTACAGACCCACCAAGAAAATCCAACAAATGCTCCGTTCAGCAAAGGACAAGAGGGATCCTCTCACCTCTGCAGGAGTCTACCGTGTACCATGCAGCTGTGGACAAGTCTACATAGGGACCACCAAACGCAGCTGCCCAAACACGAATCAAGGAACATGAAAGGCACTGCAGACTACTTCAACCAGAGAAGTCAGCCATAGCAGAGCACCTGATGAACCAACCTGGACACAGCAGATTATTTGAGAACACAGAAATGCTGGACCACTCTCACAACCACCATGTCAGGCTACACAGAGAAGCCATTGAAATCCACAAACATGTGGACAATTTCAACAGAAAGGACGAAACCATGAAAATGAACAAAATCTGGCTACCAGTATTAAAAAAACCTCTAAAATTACAACAGCACAACAACAGAGAGGAAACAAACAAGGACATCTAATCACCTCTCAACAAAAGTTTGCTCTAGGCACTGTCAGGCCATTATATGCTAATCAAGGTGGTCAGTTGAAACATTCACACCTAGCTCCAGCAGACAAGAGTCCTTTGTCTCACCCTGGTCATTCCACAGATACATAAACCCCCCTTTTCCCCCTTCCAGCAGACCTCACCTCTGAGGATGCTTGCCATAGATGCAGGCGAAACGTCAGGAGAGAATGCCTCTAGAACATGGCCATATAGCCCGAAAAAACCTACAACAACCCAGATCAGAAAATGCTGGGCAACCAAAAGGAAGTCCGAGCGGGTCTTCGTCATATAGGATAGAGCAACAGCACCCCCTGGACTCGAGCCCAATCTTCCATGGCACGTCCTTCTGTTCTGTCTGTCTGTGTATTGTCTATACAAAGCGGCATTGAATGCTTGTCGTATATGTGTACTGTGATCCGCCCTGAGTCCCCTTCGGGTTGAGAAAGGCGGGATATAAATAAAGTGTTGTTGTTGTTGTTGTTGTTATTATTATTATTATTATTGTTATTATTTCTAGTCATAGAAAACATGCTGTTTGATGAACATGGGGTATATTGGTAGCACCTGGGTAATAACTGTGAATGCCATGATGCAATACCTAAAAGGTGTGGTAATGGCTGAATTGTAACCACGTGAGGGCTTGTTCTCCAGACCCTTGATCATCCCTACCTTCGTGCTCCTTCTCGGAGGTCCCCACCTTCTTGATTTTCTTCGGGGACTTCATGAAGAGCGGGAAGATGGTCCTCAAGCCCAGAATGTCCACGAACTTGTGGCAGTTGTCCGCCCCTTCGGGCCCAATCATGGCGTGGTCCAACACTTTCAAGGCGCTGCTCCTGGAAATTTTCTTCTCCCTGAGGAAATAAAGAAGAATGAATGAATGATTAGTGTTCATTAATTTGGGGGTATATTGAACCACATGTCCTTTGCCACAAGAGCAAAAATTCACGATGAGGCTTCATGGAAAGACAAACAAGTCACGAAGTCCAGGAGTTAAGCTTCAGAAGAAAAATGGGACCTCAGGCATCTTAAACCTCATTCCTTCCACCCTAACGACCAAACAGATTCTTTTGCACCATATCAGCCTCCAGAGAATTAGCAATGTATTTACATATTAAAATAGCTATATCCTGCTACACAGCACAGGATCGTTGGGAAACTTACAGTAAAGGTAATTTAATCAATTTGCAGTCTTTAAACTGCAACAACAGAAGAAAAAGTACTGTACAAAAGTTAAAACAACCCATAAAATCATAAATACTGTATATACCTGAGTATAAGCCTAGTTTTTCAGCCCTTATTTGGGCTGAAAAAGTCCCCTCGGCTTATACTCGAGTCAATGTTATTTATTATTTTACTCTGTTATTATTATTATTATTATTATTTAATTTATTTTATTCTATTTATTATTATTACTTTTATCATTTTACTCTATTATTATACATTTATTATTTTACTGTATAATTGTTGTTATTGCTACATTCATTATTTTACTCTTTTTATTATTGTTGTTGTTATTACATTTATTATGTTACTCTCTTTATTATTATTGGAAGGATACTTAAGCACATTTACATCGAAGAAGGTAAATAATCATTTAATCAGAGTTGGATAGTCTTATCTTAAATTACCATTTTTGTAAATATTCAAAAATATATAACCTACTGATTCCTCAATTAATGTAATTTAATTGTTATCTATTTTTATTTTGCAATTTACCTGTAGTGGCTGTATTTCCCACCCTCGGCTTATACCCTTGCCCCCAAAAATGAGTCCTCCCTGTTCTCATAAGGTGCACCATGGAAAGTGCCTTAGTCGATACCAAGGTCTCCTCGCTGGACCTTAATTGTCTTCCAGGTTTGTATAAGGCAGATAAAATAAGGAAGGTAGTTTTGGTAGATAGAATAAGGAATTGCATAAGAATAGAGGGATATAGGTTAAGGAAAGAGGAAATTAAGGTAGAATTGTATTTCGACGATGTAATGATGAACCTAACAAACCCTGTAATGGGAATAAGAGAACTATGGTAAAAATCAACCTAAAAGATTTTGAAAAAAATTCAGTTCTGAGAGTTAACATTTAAAAAAAATCTGAAATCATGTATTACAATGTAAAAAACGCAGAAAAAAGGAGATAAATACAATTATAAGAATGGGCACGGATACTATTTCTTTCTTTATTTATTTACAGTATTATATTCCGCCCTTCTCACCCCGCAGGGGACTCAGGGTGGATTACAATGTCCATATACATGGCAAACATTCAATGCCATAGACACACAACATATATAGACAGACACACAGAGGCTATTTAACATTCCAGCTTTTTCATGAGGGTATTCTGGCCACCAGGGGAGCTGTTGCTTCACCATCCATTTGTGACGCTAATGATGGTATTCCGAAAAAGACTAAAAACTTGGATGTTCAAGCAGGCATTTGGTTAATTCGGTGCAATGGATGTGTCGACTACGGATTGGTAATATGGATGATGCAATTGGACCACGATTTTAGTTAGGAGATGTATTGGATTGTGATTTATATGAAATATTGTGTATTATGTTTTTTACGGTTTTAATTGTATACTGTGTACTGTATATTCTGTTGTAAACCGCGTTGAGTCGCCAGTTAGGCTGAGAAACGGCGGTATACAAGGACAGTAAATAAATAAATAAATAAATAAATAATAAAGCTTGCTCATTCTTTGCATGCTTGCTGGAGATTTTTATGGCCTCGTAAATTAGTTAAATTTACCTCCCCGCATAAGCGGTACCTAAATTTCCTACTTGACAGATGCAACTGTCGTTCGGGCTGCAAAGGTCAACACAAATTGGTTGAAAGTTTACTCTGACCCGGGCTGGCTTTGAACACATGACCTTTTGGTCAGTAGTGATCTTAATGCAGCTGACTCCCAGCCAGCTGCGCCACAGTCCCAGTACTAAGAAAATAAAATACCTAGGAGGAACAATACCAAAAATATGTAAATAAAATGGTAGAGAGAAATTATAAGGAAGCATGGAGGAAAGCTTTAAAAAAATAGGGCATTAAGTATGATCTTTGTTGTTGTTGCTCTGTGCCTTCAAGCTATTTCCAGCTAATTCTCATCTGAAGCCAAATGTATCCTGGTGTTTTCTTAGTAATATTGGTTTAGAAGAGTTCTGCCATTGCCTTCCTCTGAGGCTGAAGGAATGTGACTCTCCAAGGTCACACAGAGGGTTTCTTCATGGACAACAAGTTAAAAATGAGCCAATATTGTGATGTGGCGGCAAAAAAAACCAATGGGATTTTGGCCTGCATCAAGAGGAGCCTAGTGTCTAGATCTAGGGAAGTCATGCTCCCCATGCTCTATTCCGCTTTGGTTAGACCACACCTGGAATATTGTGTCCAATTCTGGGCACCACAATTCAAGAGAGATATTGACAAGCTGGAATGTGTCCAGAGGAGGGCTACTAAAATGATCAAGGGTCTGGAGAACAAGCCCTATGAGGAGCGGCTTAAGGAGCTGGGCATGTTTAGCCTGAAGAAGAGAAGGCTGAGAGGAGATATGATAGCCATGTATAAATATGTGAGAGGAAGCCACAGGGAGGAGGGAGCAAGCTTGTTTTCTGCTTCCTTGCAAACTAGGACACGGAACAATGGCTTCAAACTACAAGAGAGGAGATTCCATCTGAACATGAGGAAGAACTTCCTGACTGTGAGAGCCGTTCAGCAGTGGAACTCTCTGCCCCGGAGTGTGGTGGACGCTACTTCTTTGGAAGCTTTTAAACAGGGGCTGGATGGCCATCTGTCAGGGGTGATTTGAATGCAATATTCCTGCTTCTTGGCAGAATGGGGTTGGACTGGATGGCCATGAGGTCTCTTCCAACTCTTTGATTCTATGATTCTATGAACTTCCTGACTGTGAGAGCTGTTCAGCAGTGGAACTCTCTGCCCCGGAGTGTGGTGGAGGCTCCTTCTTTGGAAGCCTTTAAACAGAGGCTGGATGGCCATCTGTCAGGGGTGATTTGAATGCAATATTCCTGCTTCTTGGCAGGGGGTTGGACTGGATGGCCCATGAGGTCTCTTCCAACTCTTTGATTCTATGATTCTATGAACTTTATGACTGTGAGAGCCATTCAGCAGTGGAACTCTCTGTTCCGAAGTGTGGTGGAGGCTCCTTCTTTGGAAGCTTTTAAACAGAGGCTGGATGGCCATCTGTCAGGGGTGCTTTGAATGCAATTTCCTGCTTCTTGGCAGAATGGGGTTGGACTGGATGGCCCATGAGGTCTCTTCCAACTCTTTGATTCTATGATTCTATGAACTTCCTGACTGTGAGAGCTGTTCAGCAGTGGAACTCTCTGCCCCGGAGTGTGGTGGAGGCTCCTTCTTTGGAAGCCTTTAAACAGAGGCTGGATGGCCATCTGTCAGGGGTGATTTGAATGCAATATTCCTGCTTCTTGGCAGAATGGGGTTGGACTGGATGGCCCAGGAGGTCTCTTCCAACTCTTGGATTCTATGATTCTATTAGTTGTTTTCTTGGTAATATTGGTTGAGAAGAGTTCTGCCATTGCCTTCCTCTGAGGCCAAAGGAATGTGACTCTCCAAGGTCACCAAGAGGGTTTCCATGTCCAAACAGGGATTTCAACCCTGAACTCCAGAGTCGGAGTCCAACATGACACAATGCTGGCTCACTCAGATCTACTCTATTGTGAGTCATAACAGGATTTAGATCCAAATGATGCGATGGCTCCCGCCTCTCCAGACCAATAACTGTACATTTTGTCCCCTGCGAAGGGCTGCATCTGTGTTACACGACAAGCGCTGCGCCTGGGAACAAGATGTCCTGGAGTGGGTCTTGTTCTTCACTGACCTTCTGTGCCGGACACAGAGCGGTTTGTGTGTGTGTGTGTGTGTTTTGTGCTGAAGCCTCCCTCCTTAAACGGGCAATGTAGAAGAAGAGGAATGGAGCGCAATGGCTGTGTCAAGGGGAAAAACAGGCCTTATCGATCGGCTAATCATGCTTCATATTTCTTGCGCTGACAGCTACATGTGTGTGCAAGGGAAAGGACAACGAAGGAGAGCGGGAGAAACAACACTCGCAAGCCCGATAATGCAGGAGTCTGCTTTGCGCTGTCATCTCTAGCGCGCGGTCCTCAGAAATGGTGCTTTCCTTATTATTCCAGCTTTTTATCAAGCAAGAATTGGTGCTCAAGGCAAGGCTCATTCCTCCCCTGGCAGGAGCCCTTTCCACACCATTCTCATACTAAAAATATAAAAGCAGCCCTTGTTACACAAGCTTGGCAGCCGTAGGTTGCGCTGATAAATTCTCTAGCCACAAGAATACAAAATGCGTAATTGCCCAACTTCTACCACAAACCCTTTTCTCTTTCTATCCACTTAAGAGAATTAGAAGGTGATCGTGGCAAGAGTCTCCAACGCTTTTGCCTTTTCTTACAGGGAAAGTGAACTGTCTAGTTGGATCTCGCTGTTTGCTCAACTGTGCCTTATTGATAGATTCACGATGAATGTACATAATTGTATCATAATCTCAAGCATTTGTCTGTCTTATTATTGTATAGAAACCCACAAACCCAACCAGATGAAATCTCCAAAAATGGCACAGGTTGAGCATCCCTTATTCCAAAATGCTTTGAGATTTCAGATTTAGGAATATTTGCTTGTACACAATGAGATTTTTTTTTTTTACCGGGTTGTTGTCGGTTTTTTCAGGCTATATGGCCATGTTCTAGAAGCATTCTCTCCTAACGCTTCGCCTGCATCTGTGGCAAGCATCCTCACAACCTCTGAGGTGCCTGCCATAGATGCAGGTGAAATGTCAGGAGAAAATGCCTCTAGAACATGACCATATAGCCTGAAAA